AAATTCTCAATATGACTTAATTCGTCACTGAACTTAATGGTGTCTTCAACACTGATATGACATTAGGAATGGTGTGTTCGAGTTGTCCGGGAGAGTTGGTCGGTAGAAACTGCCCGTGAGACAGAGAAGACAAATGACTTTGGGAACGGCCGAATACTGCTCAGATGTGTCCAGGGAGCGGGACGGTGAAAGTCTGACAGTGGGATGGTAACTGAGAAAGATGTTCAATTCATCCTCGGACATGTCGACTACAAGGTTGGGTGGACCACTTTAAGGAACGCTGCAGATGACCTGATGCGGAAAACAATATTCACATAAGCTTTTAAGCTAACTTCCAAGTTGGTATCATCTACTATTTGGTTGTTCGAAAAGTAATTTCGTTTTATCCTAACATAAGATTTGGTTGTATTTTTTCAGAGCTAACTTCACAATTAAGCAGCATTATTTTATATGTTAACAGCTGATATAGCCAGGCATGCATGTGAAAAAGTTCGATTGATTCCAAGCAGTATTTTGGTTAACGCCCTTTCAAATATGGAGAGTGAAAAGTATCATTTTCAGCATATTTCACTGTTTTACAATCAAAAGGTAAAAATGCTTTAAAGCAAGAAAAATATGTTCGAGGTGCATGGAGATAATGTATTGACAAAACGTCAGTGCCAAAATTAGTTTGCAAAAATTTGATCTGGAATTAAATAATTAATTATTTGCATTAATCAAAAACCAATAAATCAATTGCATCAAATAATTAATTAATTTACATTTATTGATGCAAACCGGTGAACAACAGTTTGCGAGATCGCTGAGAGATTAAGTTATCTAATTCGACCGTTTATGAACATTTGAAACGCCGAGGTTTCATCTCAAAGCTCGACATATGGGTTTCTCATGCTCGTAAGGAAAGAAATTTGTGCCGTCGCATTGAAGTCTGTGATTTACTTTCCAAATGTCACAAAATGATCCACTTTTGAAAGGCATCATCGAAAGGGAAGAGAAATGGGTTGTCTACAACAATGTTAAACGCAAGATCTTGGAGTAAAAAATAGGAACACGTTCAAAGCAATTCCTCAAAAAAGATGATATTGTCTGGTGGGATTTCAAAGGCATTGTTTATTTTGAGCTAGTATCGGATAAACAATGATTAAGTGCAGCCATCAGCTGGAGAAATTGAATGATTCACTTAAACAGAAAAGGCCAGGATGGATCAAGAGAGAAGGTGTAGTGTTCCACCAAGATAATGCGACAGCTGACATAAGTTTGCTAACCCACCAAAAGCTTCTATAGTTTAGATGGGCTGTATTACCACACCCATCGTAGTCTCCAGATCTGGCATCCCCTGATTACTCTTCTAACCGTCTCTAAAAATTTATTACACGGTAAAATCTTTAACTCAAATGAGGTCAAAAACCACCTGCATCTGTTTGTTGCCAGCAAAAACAATTTTTTGAGCGTGAAATCATGCTACTGCCAGAAAGATGGCCAAAGGTATTTTATCAAAATGGAGAAGATATAATTTAATAAAATATTTAATCACTATAAGAAAATCATTTACATTGAGAAAAATGAAATTACTTTCCGGACAACCAGATACGTTGTATGGGATAAGATGAGTCACTCTGTTGAGAGGAGGAATAAGGTACTTCTCTCATCAGTGGCTTAGCCACTCTACGCAAAAGTACTAGATCATCATCATTAGCGCTTGGATAGAAAGATCATTAGGTGAAAGTCACCGAAGCAATAGCCTCATTACCAATACTTTGAAAAAGAGTTCAGATGAAACTGATCAAATTCAGATCTGCTGTAACGCGTAAATACACCAGCGGGTGTCTACGAATCATTCACACCACACAGAGACTAGATCTCAACTGCCGTCTGAGCAGTTCGTCAGTCGACTTGGCCTCTCATGTTAGTTACCAGTTCACCTGCAGCTGCAGTGACGCCTGTAAAGGAATGACCGACTGGCAACTGGCTCAAACGTTGGCTGATCACTTCCCAAAATAGCTGAGACCATCCACGATACATGGAGGGATGGTTCCTGAGTTCACCTGTTCTCCGAGCTTCGTAATTGGTTGCCAAACGTTTCAGCACCAAACGCAGGGCCGGAACTCTACCCCGTCTATTACAAAGCACCCTGTGATGATTGGCCACCAAATGGATCCATCGAAGTCCCTCAAAGTGCCATCGATTAACCTAAACTCAAAAATGCTAGCAATCAGTGAGGAGTTACTGATTACAGGAAACAGGCCGGTATTGTGAGTGCAAAAGCAAATGAAGCGGTTTATCGGATTACCTTGGTCGTAATCGTCCAAATTAAATTTACCAGTGTATTTTCGTTCCACTGGTACATGCGCTAATGGTACCCAAATCGTTTGCGTATGCGGCTGTGGAGAGCAATCGAAATGTTAAAATAGCGCAACTTTTGTCTTGTGTATATTTTGACCAAGTACACACAGCTTGAGTGTCGCACAGATAAACACGATATAATTAGTAACATCTAAAGACGACACTTAAATACAACCTGTGTACAATGCTAACAAAGTGGCCTCATAAAAGGAAATTCATGTACACGTCCCACAGTGCCAAATCGTTGTACGTGCGTACCGCGTCGGAAGTGGTCTAGGGCTACTTAGGAGAGCACGCATCAGGTTTCGGATTTGCCTGCCACTGTGGCCAACCACAGGGCGCCTGCGCCTACAGAGGGACCATGGATGGCTTGCGCTGCACCACCCACAGCTCCAACCACACAACCCATATCCAGTGTAAACGCGAAAGAATAAGACCAGGGAGGCATGTGCATGGGAGCCACGTTTCATCAACGGAGCCGGCCCACACTGCTTCACAGGCAAACACAAGTACGCTGTATTTGGGAATCAAGCGCACACAAGGCGGTGGCTGGACACTGAGTGTATGGAACCACTCTTTGAACGTAGCACGACCACAAGGACCGTGCATCCCGTCCCCTCCAGCAACGACCAACCGTCTCCTGGAGACAGTATGGACGAGGTAGTGAGTAACAGACAGGTAGGCACCTTGTCAACATGCACATCAAGCGCAGCTACACCGGGGATATCAAACAACAGCCAGTCACTTGAAACGACAAAATGAAATAAAATAAATCCAATAATGCATATAGATACGGTGGCAAAACACTTCGCTAAATTAGCATATGAAGTAAGTTGGTTAGCAACGAATCCGCGATAAGTAAAAAATGTCCACAAGTTACTTAAAAATGCTGCAAACGCAACAAAGTTACCGAAGATAAGCGCAATCAGCGTAAGCAACGTGGCCAGTTACTAGTAAATTATTCAGGTAGGCAGAACAAACCAAATAAAGTGGAATTAAATTTGTCTAGCTTAAAAAGACATAGTTTAAGTGGAAGTTGGTTTAGCTCAACTGCGGTGAAGAAACATCAAGAATGCAACATCAGCCTCAGCATGGGGCACCAGATTGAAGTAACACCTGCCTCAGAAATAATAATAACAGTTCAGTGCCCTGACCTGATACTTCGCTGTCGGACAAACATGATAACCCATCGAATCAAACGTCACGGGAGGGAGAGAACAGAGACCTGATGTGAAATCCACGTGTCCAAAGTGAATATCCGAGGCCAAAGTGTCCACCTCGTGTCAACAACTCACGGTCACAAACAGGCGAATAGCATGTGGAGATAAGGTGGCACCGGGCAAACAGCTGTCTTTCGGCTTTCATTGACATACTACCGTGTAAAAAGAAAGCGAATTTCTGTTGCAACATCTTTATGTGACACTGTACAACATTTTAAACACTGTCCCCCGCAAAGTAGTCCCCACTACTGGTTGATCCATTTATGGAAACTTTCCTGGAACGCACTTTCTAGACAGGTGTTTTTTCGCATTGTCCTTAATATCCTCTATGTTTTGGAAACGATCTTCTTTCGCAATAATGTTATCGGATAAAAACAGGAAAAGGTCTGCTGGGGCCAGGTCCAGATAATTCGATGGATGGAACAAAGTGAGAAGTTCATGGTTTGCTAGATAGCTGTGAATAATGAGCGATGTGTTAGTCAGTGCATTGTCATGATGCAAAAACCAATTCCGTACCGACACGACGTATCCCAGATTTGTCACCTACAAGTGGATGGTTTGATTCTAGCTAATACTCACATCGTCAGCAAATTTTCTAACAGTTAGACGAGAATTTCTACGGGTCACACAGGTACCTTCTAGATATGGTCATCGTCTGTTGATGTGGAATGTCGTCCAGGCTTGGGGTCCTCATCGGCAGACATTCTACGGTGGTTCAAAACGCTTAATCAACTCAGAGCACTGCAAGGGGACCCGTAGTGTCCTCCCCGTATGCTTAACCGATCAACTGAAATGTCGCAGTAAACGTTTTACCAAGTTAGCGAAAATCCACACACAAGCTCTTTCATTGTTACCTTGACACGAATCCGACGAGGAGCTTGCACAAGAGTTCAGTTCAGTGGCTGTACCTCGGAAACTAACAATCAGAGCGAAACGCGGCAATTTGCCGCTTGCGCACAGCAGCCGCAGCGCGCTACCTCTGCCGGTTGGTACGCTAGTTCAAAAGTTTGCTTTCTTTTTTAAAGCAGTGGTATAGACGTTGTCACGCGTCTCAATGTGTGTGAGACAAGAAAACCCGGCATAGCCCGTTCTAGTACCTGCGACTTAGAGGAAGCAATTGGTAGATTATGCATCAGCTCTATTGTTTTAAATCTATAATCTATCGTTCAACTCTACGCTGGAATTTGTGTTCATAGGCGTGACTGCACTTGGTGTCACCCACCAATTGTGCAAATTGCTGTCAGCTCTATTTTGTGGCGTAGAGTGCCATGTAGTTACGCACTCCGATCATCATAGCTTATCAACTGAGCTACACCGGAAACAAATCAGAATAATGAACAACTGCACAGTTGATTGTATGTCATCAAATATAGATCCGCTCAGTCTCCTTCTAATGATGATGGTTCAGTCGGATTGCATAGAACACACATAACTTACCTCTTGATCTAATGCAGTCTGAGTGGCAGAAGAGCCGTCAATTTCGGAGCTATCCGCGACATCTACCACAACGCTACTGGTTCCTTGTGTGGAAGCATCTTCCGGGGACAAAAGTGTGGTAGTGTGTTCCACTTCCATTGCCTTACGCTCGAATGACGTCGGTAGCTGTGCACCGTTGTCATTGATGTAATCTCCCTCGGAAGTGATGGTGCCTTGCTGATTCTCCATCAGAGTGTACTGACCAGCCTCCTTGGCAAAACGTAGTCGAAGTGGAGGGCCATTCTGTCCAACGGCTGCTGTAAGGACGTTAAGGTCACAGGAAGGCTGCGAAGAGCAAAGAACGAAAGTTGGGGGATTGGTATTCAGTGAGACGGAGGTGCTGGTGGTGGCGGTGGAGAGACCCAATCCACAAGAAGAGACGGAGGCGGAACCAAACGAACGAGATCTGGCGTTGGGGCTAGCAGATTTTCCTGTGTTCACCGTCGAGGAAGCGGAATGAAGCGATGCACCAGGCTCGGGAGACTCGTCTGTTTCGTCCTCAAATGCGTACGGGTCTTTCTTTGCTGGGTGAAGTGAAATGATAATCAATTATAAAGAGTGCGCAACCAAAGACATTAAACCGTGACACCAGTGTGGCAACCAACGTCGGCAAACACACGCGCCACTCAAATTCAGTGTGTAACAACCACAAAGTGCGGACGTGGTAACCAGCACCCATTCCGTGTTTCATCACTTTGGTGTGTGTATACAAGCACCACCACCACAATTTCTAGTAACACATCGCGCGCATGTGTGTGTGCAAGTATGTAGGAGTTGCACGCGCACATGCACACACGAACAGCCAATAAAAACAGTAACCGGCACGTGGACCAGATGGAGAACGAAGTTAAATTCAGCATGGAGCGCGCAATGGGTTTGGCGGCTAAGAGAATGATGGTACGAGAATAAAGGTATCCCCATACCTAGGCGTTGCAGAGCTATAGAAAAACAAAGGTGATTGCAAAATGCATGATAAAGTTACGCGAATGTTGGCAGGAGAGAGAAGTGACCGGAAAATACCGGAATGACAAACAAGCAAATGTGTGTTTATTGAAGCAGTGCGAAGCACTCCATGTGAATTTGAGGGCTAACTACTGCACATTCAGTAAAAGCGGTTAAAAAACGCGAGAACCTGCAGAGAACAAAGAGGATATAGTGAGTGAGGTAAGATCTGCAACACGATAGAGGAAAGATTTGGGTTTCTGTGTCATGGAAGAAAATACTCCAGCTGATAGCATCACCCGTAGCTATGGACAGTAGAGCATGGAACGGGTCTATTTGTAAGTTTTGGCTGGTAGAGAAACTGATGACTGGAATGTGACTCAGTGAAAGCAAAGGAAGAAGCATAGACAGCACAATGGAAGTTCGGGCCGACTGCTGCACGTATGCTAGGGGAAAAGCGACGGCTCCCGCGCCTACGCAATCTCGAACCTGTGAGTTGTGGAGTGGGAAGTCGAACACCTGAAGTGATCGCCTACTGGCCGCCTTTGGTTGGGATGGGTTTGCAAATAGGGCCCCAAGAGCAATATCGATGGATGGGCTGAGAACACAGTAGGGCACTGAGAAGGTCACATAAGTGGACGCTGATCTATTTAAAGGCTTTGGATGGGAAGAGTAACGGTTTACTTACTCTGCAGCTGAACTGCGGCTCCGATAATCTAAACCTCCTTCCATTTTCAACTAGATGCACTGGCGAAACCAGATATCGCCAGCGATCAACTCGTTATCCGCAAACATACGGAGATACATACACTGTCGGCAAAACGTGATCAAAGCAGTCAATGATACATTACAAAAAAACCATGCAATATGTGTTCCAGGAGCAACATATCTATTCCCAAAAAGCTGCATTTCCTTGTACAAATCTACCCTCCGTTGATTGGGAGTGACCAAAGCATACCTCGTCCATCTACCGTAAAGTATTTCTGAGTTTTCTACTTTCTCTATACATATTCTTGTTAAAAATGTAGAATGCTCTATTCACGCCCTCAAACTAAAAGTACTTCCCGTTCCACGTGTTTAAAATTGTAACGTTTGTAACTGCAGGTATTCTCTCTCCCTTGTTAAACTGTGTTCCTGTGTTACTTTCCGCGGACCACTTCAAAAAGATTATATCCTTTTTGTTCGTTCGCCCAATTTATTTCCCGTTACTCTGGCGTAAGGAAAGAACCACTCGGTGTCTTCATTGTTAAAAAGCATTTCGATGCATGCAGCAACTTTTCATCTGGGATTTTAAACGACCCCCCTCACCATCTGCATACTCTCCTAGCCAGTCCTGTACATACTTCTTACACAGGGTGGAAATTCGAAATTGTATATTCGTGTACCTCGTCGTATCCGGAACTCCACCCTAACGTAGTTATCGCGCTTACTAAGAGCGGTTGCGTGAAGATATGCAAGAGTGAAGATATACCTTTCTCGCTCTGTCGTATGTTAGTTTCGCCTTGATGCGTTGTTGTATTATTTCTGCAGCGTTAATGCTGAAAATGTGTCCTAACGGGTGTAGAAAGCTTATCTTGACTTGACTCAACTTGACTTAACGCTGTACGTTGACAAACATGTGCTAGACTGCAAACCTAGAAAAAACGAATGGGAAGAAACCTACGGACTGAGATACGCTTCGGTATTTTATCATCCGTTTACTCGAAAATGTCTGAGTAGGAAATAGGCTAAACAGAATGTGCATTAACGACCGAGATTTTTTGAGATAAACGATACTCTACGTCTGGTCTTTGGGACAACAATATAGCTCCCAAGGCAGTGGAACAGATAATGATCGCCAGAGCGAGGCCCCCAGGATCCTTAGAAGCATGAGTCAAAATGAAACTGGGAGCTCGTCAAGCTCGGGAGTGTGACCGCACAATCTAAATGGGTTTCGCTTACAAAAATTCCCACGCAGTCTCAGAGGATTCAGGGCTGCTTTTATACGCGATTCGGCCGTAGTCGAAATACATATGGTACCACAGTGGGTTTTGGCGGCCTTGCAGCTGGTGATCAAAGTCTATTGGTCTGAGATGGGCTGTGGAAAACAGCGAACAAGGGTGTCACTCTCCGACCATCGCAGACAAGCTATGGATCACCTGTGCTCCGTATCAATCGAGTTAAGGTTATAACTCGCAAGTAATGTTCCCCACAGCTAATTCATAATAGTTATATGATCTTGAATGATTCTTGGCAGTAGCCCCAAGTGCACACTAGCTCGGACAGCATTGGACGGTCAGTCCGCCCTATTGGGACATATCAGCGGCAGCGGGTTCTCCTGACTCCACCAGGAATGGGACGCACGGGGTCTTGATGCCAACCACCGCCAAACAAATCACGATGGCCAACCTCCGTCACCCACTAATGGTATGAGATGCTGGCACCTAGAGGCCATGGGGGTTTGGTCATCGATCTCTCCACAATCGAAGGTGCCGGTTTGCTGAAAGTGAGACTGTCTGACGTATTAACCAATGTGCCTGATGCGGAAAACTCTGGAGACATAAAGAAATTGCCAACCAAGATAACCCAGTGGATCACTGGGGAACGCAAGGCATCGCACCACTATGAGATCCAGTCTTCTTACGACGGAGCGTTGGAGTTGACCACATTCGAGGTTAAAATAGAGCAATTAAATTAACATTCTTGCAAGTACGCCTCTCTGAACCACGTGCAACTGGCTCATACGGTCTTGACTGTTTACTTATAAGAATAACTGGGCCATTCAAGGTAGCTGGGCCCACTTCACCATGCTACTCATGTCAGCCATAGTTAACCGTTAGAGAAAAAAATCAACTGGTCATGAGAGTGTCAAAACATTCTGCGTCACCAAGTCAGAGAACAAAAGATACGCAGCAAGTGGATCCAATAGGAATGCGTGAAACTAGTTCGAACTGGTATGTGTGTGTGTGTGTGTAGTTAGATTTTGTTAACGGAAGAGCAAAAGCATTTGCGATACAATTCACTCCGTATCTGAACTAGGCGGTTATAGAGGGAAAACTGGCCAGCCGGATACCAGTACGGCTTTAATCAGTCTGCGTAACACATGGGCAAGCTTTAAAGTGTTCACGTGACGCAGAATATGATATACACCAAAGAGAGCTTTGATGTAAGTCCTGCTTTGCACACTGTCCTCTAAAACAGACAAACAACTTTTAAGGCGCGATACACCCGACATAAATATAGCAGCCAGATAAAACCACTTCGAAAGTGTCGTTCACATGGCAAGAAGTGAAGAAAGTGATGAAGTCTGATGTTAAAGTAACAGGATGACAAACAAACAGCATTCGCAAAATCGACATTAAGGCAGGTCGTTTGTTAGACATGGTTGCAACACAATGGTGTGTAGAAACGATTACCATAGGAATAACGGCTATCCGAAAGCGAAATTGGTATAAAGCCGGGTAAAATATTCGGTCACAAAGTAGAGGGTGGGTATGGATGTTCGTACGAAAAAAGTGCAAAGTTCTATGAAGCCCTGGAAACGCACCTGGTTTGCATGAAATCAGCAAGTGCGGCTCGCCGAACGACCCTTTTTGTCCCGGACTGACAGTCATATGGGTGCTGGATGTGGTGACGCTGGGTGTAGCCGTATGATCGTTAGAACAGTGAGGAGCAGGTGCAGAGGCCGAAGTGCCCGCAGATGCGGATGCGATGCCAGAGCCTGAACACGTGTCATCCGAATCCGAAAAGCAATCCGGTGTGGTCGTGGTGCTACAGCTTTTGACATAGGCATACGATTCGTGGACTCCTGGGTACATGACGGTGCAGGATGGAGGCCGTGAAGATTGATCGCCCGTGGTAAGATGACCGTGATGATGACGCTGCGATTTACTAGAGTTGATCGACTTCACCGAAGTCATGGCGGAATGCGAACGGTGAATATCCGCGTGCTGCGACACAGGACAAGCATTGCAGAATGATGGTAATCGAGCGGACAGTAGGGTGGACGGAAACTGCCGCATAAAGTAAGTGTACTCATGAGTAAAGGGTATGATATCTTCAACTGATTTTCTCCAGCTGAGATTGCTATTGTACGCGCAAGCAAAAAGCAGCACTCGCCGGCACAGAGACAAGCTTGCAGTAATGGATCTGAAGCGTGTAGTTCACCCACTATACTTCGAGCGTCCAGCAATTAAGTGTTGGAACAGCGTGCCCCACACAACAGTCGAGGGAAAATCCGTGTGGGAATTCCAGAAATTCCCAGACGCAAACTCTCGGAGTACGGATAGGATGTTGTCGGTGCTATCTGGACAGAAACTAGCTGATCTTGATTATGCGAACGATATTTCCATACCGTTTAACGATGTGAAAGCCTAGTAAACCAAGGAGAAACCCTCTATACTGGTTCTATTATTGGACATGATATTCGCACGTTCAAAGTGCTGGTACAGGATCACCAGCCACTTGATGACCCCTTAAGCTTAAATGGCGAGACACTCGAAGTAGTTGATCAATTCATCTACCTAAGCAGGTGTATCAACAACGATGGGCGCATAAGCACTGAAGTCAGTTCAGCGACAACTGTGGCGTCAAAAGAGGGTTTTCTTCGGTCTGAAAGGCCGTGTTTACAAGGCCACAGTGAGGGTTGTCATAATCTATCATAAGTAAACCTGAGTCCGGAATGGAAATAGATGGGTGTTGCTCTTCCCAACACCGGCACACCACAACCGCGGTTTCGTCCTGGTTTGGACTCGTCAGGTGGAGATAGCCTGAGCTGGGGTGGAACTCAGAGCCGAACAGTTCAAAGCTGACATCAGCCTTGAACTACTAGGCTCTGAGTTCCACTCTAGCTCAGGCTATCTCCACCTGACGAGTCCAAACCAGGACGAAACCGCAGTTGTGGTGTGCCAGTGTTGGGAAGAGCAACACCCATCTATTTCCATTCCAGATACGGTCCTCGAGATCGGAATGACCGAGGTTTACCTCAAAGTGAACCGAGATCTCTATAGAGGTTGCGAGTCGCAACCCAACCACACAGCGTATTCCCTAAATTCTGCTTTAAACCTGAGTCCCTTCGATCTGAGGACCTGCGGCGCCTACAAGCCTTCGATCATAGTTGACTGCGATGTATTATGGTGTCGGATGGCACCAGCATACGGGGAACGATTTTGTGCGTAGGCGAGTGTTGGTAGTGATAATCGGGCTAGTTCCATAGAACAACAGATAGCAGTGAATAAGCTACACTGGCTTGGGCACGTACTACGTAGGCCTAGTCACCACTTACCCAGGAGGACCTTGTTTTATTTTCCAGATGCAGCGTGGCTCAAGGCCCGAGGTGGCCAAGAGTTGACTTGGCAGCGCGAAATGAAGTCACCGACGACCAAATGCGGTCATCATTCATCATCAGCAGCATCAGCATTATACACGTTGGCTACAGATGGAAAACATCTAAGCTACTGTGCTGCAATATAAAGACAAGAAAAGGAAAACGAACAGTGGCACGCCCGCTGAGTCCCCAGTAACGGATGGACATCGTTCCAGAAAGTTAACAGCCGCCTATCGTGCCGCACAAAGAGAGTTATATTATGCCTAACGAGTGAGATCGCAATTGGAACGGGAGGTTAAGCGGAAGGGGGATGGACAAACAAACCCACAACACAAACACCATTGGGGCTCGCTCCTAGCCATATCAGCAAGTGTGTCCAACCAAACGTGTTCATCGTCCTTAGGACCCCAGCCAGACAGTCGGGATGCACCAACCGACGCCAACCTCGATGTGAGGGTTTTCATTCCACTCGACCAAGTCATCGCTTCGCCTCCCCTCTCCCTTTCTCAATCGCACCACCAGTGCGCCAACAATGCACACCGCGGGAGTTGCTGTGCTGGCATGCGCAACAAGTAGCCCAGCCATCGGATCCGGGTGCGTGATATAATGATGCTGAGCGGTTCACTCGCTCTTCCTGCACCAAATACGTGACGCCGAACACGCTCATTGTTCACGCGATGCTCCCACCAGACATGAGCTAAGCTGCGAAGGAAGCGATAACCGAAGGTGACGAGCCTCTTTATGCCTGTCGACCTGATGGGTCAGGTTTCACAACTGTATAAGATGGGTGAACAGACGGCTGCATTATATACTCCATCCTTCAATGAGAGAGTGATGTCGCGTCTGTGCCACAGGTGGTGGAGATTGGCAAAAGCACATCGAGCTTCTGCTATACGGTTCATAATCTCGGTTTCGATCCCACAGGAGCTAATATAGCGTCCCAGGTACTTGAATTCCTGAACGACTTCTAGCGGATCACCACCAAGGGTCAGCGCAAAGGTGAGTCCCTGCCAATCTTAGGAAAGAACTTTGCATTTTGATGGAGCAGAACATAGCTCAAAACGATTGACAGCCAATGCTAATCGGTCCAGTGCAGCCTGGCACGTTTGGGCGCTGTCACATAGGAGGGCATACTCCAAGTCAAGAATTTGTTCACCATGAAGTAGCTCCACACCTAGGTCGTGTTCAGCGAACGCTGTTTCTATGACTTCATCAATAGCGAAGTTGAAGAGGAAAGGTGACAGAGGGCAACTTTGTCTCACACCGCTGGAGATATTGAACGGCGGCTAAAGTTTGCCATAAACACTCACTCTGTCCGAACTATGCGCGTACAACGCGTTGATAATGTTTACATATATATCGGACACACGTTTTCTCAGCAAACAGTCCAAAAGGGCACATCGATCCACCGAATTGAAGGCACCTTTGATGACGAGAAACACGACCACGGTGGGTCGCCAATAAACATGGCGGTGCTCCAACAATTGACGCAAAGTGAAGATGTGGTCGATGCAGCCTCGATTTCGAAGAAACCCGGCTTGCTCTTCGCGAATCTGGCTTTCACGAGCGCTAGTCAGTTTGTGGAGAACGACAGAAACAAGCAATTTAGAAGCAACTGAGATCAGACTGATCCCTCAATGGCTGCCGCATTCCGAACGGGAGTCTCCTTTAAAAATTGGGATTATGACAGAACAGCTCCAATCTGTCGGGACAGCCTTTTGCTCCCAAAGTTGCATTAGCAACTCGCGTAAATCATCTACAAAAGCAAGTCCCGCGAATTTGTAAAGAGCTGAGAAAATTCTATCTGGACCAGCTGCCTTATGGAATTCCAACAGTCTAATATCACGTTCGATTTCGGTGCCGTCGGTCCATTTTGCCTTCCAGGCTGGAGTCCATGTGATCTGCTTTGCGCTTGACTAGAGACGTTACATGACATGGCTCGCAGTCGGCCCCAGTGGTTCATCCACTGTTCTCTCCTAGTCGGACTGTAATTAAATTATGTTTGGTGCTGAGTTATCTGCGAGGATATGGTTGACTATGACGCGAGGCAGTGAAAAACGCAAGGAAGCTGCCTTAGCGATGCCGTGTTATCTTTGCCCGATAGCCAGCCGTTTGTGATGTTACGTTCTTGACGAGGTGTCGGAGCATTGATCCTGAATGCTGCCAATGGTATTAAGATTCTACGCTAGGTCTTCCACGTATTATTATTATGATTGTGATTGTGATTATTATTATTATTATTATTATTATTATTAGTCGTTTCGCAGATCACCATGATAGTACGGCAGCGAAGCTTCAGTTCAAATAGCAGATGCGCTGCTGTTGATGATGATGACGGACGTTGCACAAGTGAATAATACTCATGTGCAGGGGATTTCATCGAAACAGTTCCGAAATCAGATAGTCCTCTATATGTTCGTAAAAGCACTAGACGGTCGTTTCGAGCTGTTGGGTGTAGTCAGTAGTGCGTATCCATCGAATCCACACATATGAAACATTGCGGCTTGAACCTCCAGCAAAGAGTTTGTGCAACTGAGTCAGGGGGAGACAGTCTTATCCTCTAATGACATGCAATACACGAACGTTGCAAAGGACAGAGTTGACTCCGAAAGACAAGACTTCCACAGAGGGTATGTACGACATAGCATTTAGAAACCGCTGTGGCAGACATTTTGGTTTACTCATGAGTAAGGGATTTTTGATGTAATTAACGGGGATTTCATCGCACGTGGAGAATTAGCAGTTCTGGGTACTACTGTGATGATATGTCCTTTAATTACACAGAAACTATGTTGGCAGTACGCGATGACAAATGACGTCGCTACGTGTGGGCGCCCGATGATATTTCGTTGGATGAACGCAGTAGTATATGTTCCAGCTCTCTATTATCCCTCTTCAATGGCGCTTAAGTCAAATAGCTCTCCAAATGCGCGGGAAAGTGCTACACGACTCTGGTGTCCTGACGGGACCCTATAGTGGCTCGCTCTCCCCATACACCAGTAGGAACTGAATCCATGACCAATGGACTGGACCTTAACGTGGTGCGACGGTTTGCGTACCTCATTGACCCATTGAGCTATACTGGGTGATGCCTCAGAGCATCTTGAGAGCTACTCCTACCAGGTTGGTCAATGGTGAGAGGTCAGACAAACTCAGTCTCCTGGTCCTCCAGGTTGGGGGTTTGAAACGGGATGGCGTCCATTGCTGTAAAACTAAACCATTGCCACCTCTCCGCTACCTTGCGGCCAGGCTTTTGAGCCAAAGGCTTTGGATGAGGACCCTAATCGTCCTCCTGTCTAGGTCTAGGTGCCCTAGCAGTATTTCAGCCCACATACGACCATGACATATTCTTCAAACATAAACTTCATCCTGCATCGGCCGTCGCGCAGATTATCAAGGGTCGCCTCATCTGCTGCATACAGCAGTGCGGATAAGCGAAAACATGCTACTGCTGGCGCCTCCCTTCTTTCTTTTCCACCTTTTTCTTTTATTCCCATCCCGGCCCCCATTACTAATCTTCCTTCTATAATTCCCAGCTTAATTGACAGCAACCGAAGTGCCACTGGAGTAGAACCATCTGCAGCCACCATCCTACAGCACCTATCGGACGCCTATCGGCAAAAGTCCCTTATAAGGCCACGCTGTCCCGTTTCCATGGCACTTTCAACGTCCGCACTCTAAAACAAACATGTCAGCAGGCTGCACTCGCACGCACCTTGGACACACTGGGTACGGATCTGTGCTGTGTGTCCGAAACTATGATCAATGACCCTAACGGGGTTGTTGGATTAACTGCGCCCTGCTTGTCATCTCGGTATTGGTTGCACGCATGCGGAGACGTCGATGCGGCACTCACGGGTCAAGCTGGTGTAGGTATCATTCTCAGCTCCAAGGCTGAGTCATCGTTGGTTGACTGGATTGCGGTGAACAGCCGTTTATGTGCAGCCCGTTTGACGACATCAGCTAAGGTGAATTCGCGAAGTAGTACAAAACGCTGTTTGTTTGTGATTTCCGTTTATGCCCCCACCGACTGCAGTTCTAATGCAGTCAAGGACACTTTCTATCACTAACTGAACGCCCTACTACGCAGTGCTACTAGTTCAGATATCATAGTACTTGCAGGGGATATGAACGCACAAGTAGGGCGTCTGAGCTCTTCAGAAGCTCAGCTGGGTGGTAATTATGGACTTAACTCCAAACGGACTGACAACGGCGAGCGTCTGGCGCAACTGTGTGCGGAGCACCAGTTGTTTCTTAGTAGCACTGCTTTTAGACGCAGTGGGGGCCGAAGTGCCACTTGGCGTCCTCCTGTGGCTGGCCAACGATGGACCTAAATTGACCACATAGCCATAAGTTACAGGTGGCGCGGTTCCATTCTGGATTGCCGCTCGTACTGGAGTACCTGTGTCGACTCTGATCATGCCTTGGTGCGCTGTCGTTGCTCCATGAACTTTACCGGAAGGCGCACAAAGCGTCTCCCCCGACTGGCAACGGAGAAATTGTCCCAGCCCTCGGTCAGGCAAGCCTATCAAGAAGCACTGTATACCGAACTCTCGCTATCTTGTCCTAATGACACTGAACTTCAGTGGAATAGGATCTCAGCCGCCATGCACGACGCAGGAGCATCTGCTTGTGGCACTATCAGTCGTCACCGCACCAGTCACTGGATATCCGAGAGGTCCGTGAACCTGTTGGAAGCTAGAAGACACCTCCCGGCTGGTTCTGAACACAATGTGACCAGACAGGCTATTAAGCGTGAACTAAAGCGAAGCCTACGTGCTGACAAGGAAGCCTGGTGGACCAGTCGGGCTCAAGAAATGGAGGAGGCAGAAGCAGTAGGCAATTACCGGAAGCTCTTCCAGCTAATCCGCACCACTGGTCCCAGAAAACCAGGCGTCAGTGAGACAATCAGAGACCGCGCGAGTGCGCTGATACACAATAAGGAGCGCCGTATGGCCCGTTGGGCTGAACACTTTGAAGATCACTTCAGCTGGCCCCCTGATCCCGGACGTCTTCCTACTCAGGTGATGCAGGACGAGCCATGGACGGTTAGTTTAGAGCCTCCGTCGGAGGCCGAGGTCCGAAACACGATCACGGCCCTTAATCGTTTTCGTGCCGCTGGCCCGGATTCCCTACCACCTGCACTATTTAAGGATGGAGGTGAGGTCCTCTGCAGGGCACTGACCTCCCTATTCGAACGTATCTGGAACGAAGAGGGTGTGCCGGTTAATTGGAGCGAATCGATCATAGTGGCAATATACAAGAAGGGCAGTCGCACAGACTGCTCTAATCACTGGGGTATTAGCCTAACGCCAGTTGTGACAAAATTGTTGGCCTCGATTATCGTTCGTCGCCTTACTGCAGAACAGGAATCTCGGATTAGGGAAGAGCAGGCCGGTTTTCGCCCAGGATGTGGCTGTATAGACCATATATTCACTTTGCGGCAGGTGCTAGAGCAGCGCCACGCATACCACAGGCCGACAATAGCTGTGTTCCTCGATTTCAAGAGTGTGTTCGATTCGGTCGATCGATCGATTCTGTTCGAATTACTTGCGCGAAAAGGTGTTCCCACGAAATATGTGAACATCCTTCGTGCTCTGTACTCGAACACTACAGGCCGCGTCAGGGTCCATGGTGTCCTATCGGATAGCTTTCCGACCACAATTGGTGTTCGTCAGGGTTGTCCGATTTCCCCATTTTTGTTCAATTTCGTCGTGGATTCTATCATGGAGTGTTCCCTGACGGAATCCAACGATGTAAGCCTGGTGAAAGGTTAGTTGACCTAGATTATGCGGACGATATCGTCTTGCTTTTCGACGATTTTGCGGCGGCACAATCAACCCTGAATAGCCTGTACAGAGTGGTCCCATTATTTGGTATGCACCTCGCACCTTCAAAGTGCAAAGTGTTGCTGCAGGACCACCAGCCACTCGATGGCCCCTTGACGCTTGCTAACGATGAATTCGAGGTGATTAATCTTTCACTTATCTTGGCAGCTGCATCAGCAATGATGGGCGCATAGAAACTGAGGTGAGCTCACGCATTGCAAAGGCCAGAGCTGCGTTCTTGAACCTGCGTCATCTTTGGCGACAGAAGGGAGTTTCCCTCCGTCTGAAAGGCCGTGTATACAAGGCCACAGTGAGGGCCGTTCTGCTCTCTGGTAGTGAAACTTGTCCCCTTCGGTCTGAAGATCTGAGGCGCCTTCAAGTCTTTGATCATCGTTGTTTGCGAAGCATTGCTGGTGTCGGATGGCACCAGCGTGTCCGCAACGATGATGTGCGTAGGCGAGTACTAGTTGGTGATAATCATGCTAGCTCCCTAGAACAACAGATAGCACTGAATAAGTTGCGTTGGCTCGGGCACGTGCTACGCATGCCTGGTCACCGCTTACCTAGGAGGGCCTTGTTCAGTCTACCAGGTGTCGGATGGCGCAAGGCTCGAGGTCTACTTCGGCTTGGGCAACCGGGTAGTATCTCGCCCTCTGACGAAACCATGGACATTATTGTGTTGTGTTTTATTGTACTGTTTCTGTACTTTCGTTTGAACCCCATGGTTTCTGATGGCATTATGTCTGTTAGCAGACTTTTGCAAATATATATATATATATATAAGGCTCGAGGTGGACAGAAGTTGACTTCGCAGCGGGAAATGAAGTCACTGACGACCAAACTGGGTGTCGTTGGTCCGTCTCGCCTTCCGGGTTGGAGTCCACGTGACTCACCTTGTGCTTGGCTCGAGACTTTACAGGACATGGCTCGCAACCGACACCAGTGGCGCGTCTGCTGCCGTCTCCTAATTGGATTGTCTGTTTAAAGTGTGTTTGGGGCTGAGTTATCTGCGGGGTAATGGCTGATTATGACGCGTGGCAGTGAAAGCCGCAAGGAAGCTGTCTCGCCGATGCCGCCTTATCTTTGCACGATAGCCAGCTGTTTGTGACGGTATGTTGTCTACACAAGGTGTAGGCGCCTTGACCCTGAATGTTTTGTTAGGGCATTAAGGTTTTCAGGTAAGTCCCCCTTTCTCGCCCTCATCTTATTCTTTATTTCATAGGTCCTCATGGTTGTATGTCAGCGAAGCATCAGTTCAAATGGCTGATGTACTGCTGTTGTTGATGATGATGATGGTAGCTTGCGCCATTAGCCAGCAGTTTATGCCAATAGGACACAAAGGACGATGGTGGACGGTCAAGATTTACAAGCTGACTGGTATGTAGCACGGCTCATCCTTCATTGTCATGCAACTTATGAACGTTGCAAAGGACAGAGTTGGCCCGCAATGACATAACTTCCACTGGCAGTAGCTATATGAGACACAACACTTAGTAGCTGTTGGCGTGGATAAGGTAGTGAAATACGCACGAGTAGGGGACTTTTATGAAGTTTTCCTTACAGCAAAGTGTTTTAGAAGACCAAGGCGATTCCACTGAGTTATGATGGGCGCCGATAAGCTACAGAATGAGGTGGTGCTTCAAACAGATAAGTGATTGATTGACGAAGGTGAAGGAGATCATGTTCGAGTAAGTATATGATGCAAAAATCAGGCTAATCAAAACAACGCTTCAGATGTCCGAACTAACACACGGTACAAGAGATACAGGCAGTTCAGACAGAAGACAACACGAAGGCAGGCAAGTAGACAAAATAATCCAACCCGAGATACGAAAAGCCATAATGGGATCCTCACCTGATTTAAAAGAGCTAATGCTTCAGCATCATGACAAACATCCAACGGGCGCTCGCCGTGGTTGTTGTGAACAAGAGGATCGGCACCATGGCGGAGTAACGTGCGAATGACGCGTACGAAACCAGCGCGGGCTGCCTCATGCAAAGCAGTGTCGCCGTCTAGCGATGCTAAGTTTGGCTGCGCTCCGTGTCTCAACAGGTAGGCGACGGAACGCGGTAGGTTTTGTGCACTAAACTCGTGCAGAGCGGTTCTTCCTTAAAATCCAAATGGAAGAGCACATGAGCGAATACAACAGGTAAGGTGAATTTATAAACACACTCGTGGGACAACACCTGACCGAATATGTCGACAGGTAACTAGAAAAAGCATAAAACATCCAAAACGTCATGGAGAAAAGCGACGGCCGCCGAAGAAGCCGTCGGAATCATGAAGAAAAGGTCAGCGTGCGCGCGGTACTGTGTTCATCAAACCAAAATAAATCTAAGCACTGGAGTGCGGTGGGTCCGACTATAATGGTCTACGCTGACATGCTACGGAAAGAAAATAAAGTGGCAAAGGAAAACGTGAAAAAAGCAAAAGCAAATTGATGAGAAGCAATAAGTCGAAGGAAGAAGAGACAGAAAGGTAAACACAGGCACCGATGAATGGAAAAACAAGAGACTGAATTCGAGAGCACCATTGGCTAAGTCACATCGAATGAGCAGAAAGAAGCAGCAAATGGCGAGGCCGCGAGCGGTCTTAGGTACATTATTGCATAGATCAGTTGGGATGATTTTGTTTGCCGAAATCCGTCCACAAGGCAACAGCTCTATTTCCTCCATGAATGCTTGCGAAGAGACATTCTTCCTCGCAGTATCAGCTACAGGCCACCGATGAACCATCTACAGGCGTGGACAACCGCGCGGAATTCGGATTGGAGAGCACATTCCGAAGCGAATTGCTGGGCTGATGGCACAACAAGCAACGGTAGCATCGATCATCATTACAGCAGTAGGCTAGTGGTTCACAATGATGATACTCGACCCTAGTTGGTGATATCGATCCCTCCAGCTGTTAAAGTAGTGCCATTACGTGGCGAAAATGGTGCCTACGTGTCAGGTTAAAAAGCCGCCATTTATCTGCAAGATGAACAATTCAGACCCTAAAGTTACTGCCATATGTGTCCACCTCCAAACATAGTCATCGTTCTTCGATCCTCAGCTCGGCAGTCGGGAGACGTCAACTGATACCAGGTACAAAATGAGGGCAATCATTCCGCTTGACCAAGTCATCACTTGCTTCCCCTCCTCTTCTTCTATCCGGACACCGGTCGTACAAACAACGCACGTAGCGGGAATCATTGTACTGGAGTGCACAACATGTGACACAGCCATCGGAGCCTGGTGCGTGAAAAAAAAATCAGTGCTGATGGGTTCACTCGCTCTTCCTGCACCAAATACACGACGCCGAACACACTCAATGCTCACGCGATGCTACCACCAGTTAGGAGCTAAGATGCAAAAGCAGCGGTGATCGAAGGTAATTAGCCTCTTGATGTCTATCGACTTGAAGGGCAAACTTTCGCATCCATACAGTAGGGCTGAACGGACGGCTGCAATGTAAACTCTGTCCTTCAGGGCGAGAGTGATGATGCGCCAGCGCGTCAGGTGCTGGAGATTGGCAAAGGCGCTCCGAGCTTCTGCTATACAGCTCGCGACCTCATCCTCTATTCTACAAGCCCATAGCATCCTAAGTACTTAAATTCGTTAGCGAATTCCAGCTAATCAGGACCATGGGTCAGCGTAGGGACAGGTCCCGGGTAATATTGGAGAAGGACTTTGCACTTCAACGGTGCAAAGCATAGCCCAAACGACTGACAATCAGCGCAAACCAGGCAAACTCCCAATGGCACGTTTTTGAGCTATCACAGATAAGGACAATACTGTCAGCGTACCCCAAGCTGATCACCTGAGAACATCTCCGCGCCTTAGAGTTTACGTCCAATGAACGCCCTTTCCATGACTTGGTCACTGGCGAAGATAGAAGAAGCATGAGAGCGAGCAAGTTTGTTTGAAATGAGTTGGAATATTGGTAGCACGAGAGATTTGTTCAATTGTTGGGCTGGGCAACTTCCTTACAAACGTTTCGCCACCATCCGAGGTGACATCTATAGTGCAGGATTAATAGCAGTCAGGTAGCACGACCTGGTAGAAACGTAGACCCAATGATGGATACTGTCAGCAACTATTCCGCTCCTTATATAGGCATACGGGACCATAAACTTTACCTCGTTCTGTTTGGTGATTCATTATGTTCTGCGATCGTGCTCGAGTCACTGCCATTTGGCTGTGCAAATGTTGTTGTGACGTGGTTGGGGCTATCGCACTCGGATTGGTGCAGCGAGTGTAGCTGAGCAATTTTCACTCGCAGTGACCATTCTGTTCATTGTTGTATTAGGTCCTTTTGAACAGTGGTTGTTAATCCTCTTGAACTCTCTCTCTGTCTTTGTGACTGGCATATTGGATCGATGTCGATATGCATGTTGATTGAGTTCGTGGTTAAGAACAAGGCTTCGAGAAACTCCTCCTTTTTGTGTTTCTGCTTGGATCAAGATCTCTACTTTGTTCCAACTGAAACTGTGTCTCTCTTCATCCACGTGTGCTGCAACCAATGAGCTTGCGTTACGTCCTTACACGCTCTTTGGTGTTGATGTTGACAGCTTGCTTCCTGTTTGTCCAAGACAGTGCTTTCCACAATTTATGCAGTTTATTCTATATATGACATTCATTGTTCTAGTGTCTATCGTTTCCCTCAATGCTTTGACAATGTTTTCCTCAGAGTGGCGGTTGACTTGTGGGATACCATGATATGATGTTGGTTTAACAATCTGACAGTCATTTCAGATATGCTTTTTGTGTACGGCAGAACTATACGCTTCGTCATAGCTGACGTAGGCTCGGTTTCTGAGGGCTTGCGGTTTCAGCAGTTTTGGAGAAAAATGCGTGAGTATCCGTTGCGTTCAAATGACTTGAATAAGTGCCTTTTTTCTGCTCGTTTCACTTATGTCGTAGTGCAGTGAGTTGTTATTCTACGGAACAATGTGACATCGTGGGTAGTTGCTGTTGAAGTTCAAAATCTGATCTGTGTGCCTGCTTTTCCTGTATACTGATGTTTGCATTTCGCCGTCCATTGTTTTGGTTACGAACACATCCAAGAAAGGAAGTTTGTTTTCTTTCTCTGATTCCATGTTAAACTGGGTGCCGTCCATAGCGTCGTTAAGCAGTCTTGTGCAACCGATATTTGACTAAGTTTGTGTATCACAAACGTATAATCGACGTAGTAAACCCAAAATTTAGGATTCATCATTGGTAATAGATCCTCTTCCTATTTTTTGCATGACAATATCCGCGATGAATCCGGATACGGGTGACCCCATCGGTGCACCGTACACTTGTTTATAAATTTTTCCGTTGAACGCAAAGTAAGTGAAGAAATTCGCATACACTTCTGGTCGTTATGTTTCCGATCTTTTCTCCGCTGTCGTCCAGAGGTTCTGCGATAACTTCCTTGGCCAGCTGTAAGTTGAGAGAAGTAAACAAGACTATTACATCGAAGGACACCATCGTTTCCTCGTGCTCTCTGAGCTTGGTCGGGAATTGTGGGACATTGTTTATGAAGTGTTGCCATCTGCTGATTAGGTGCATGAGGCGGCTCCATAGTTCCTTTTCCAGATTGTAAGTGGGCGTGCCTGGAAGTGACACGATTGGTCGTAACGATGATCCGTGTTTGTGCACTTTGGGTAATCCATAGAATTGCGCAATGTTCCAGTTTCGAGCCCTCATTTTACCTCGTTCCTCTTCCGTTATTTGTTCGACTGCTTAAGCCTCAACAACGCTCTGTTTATTTTGGTGGTTAGGTGCGATGTTGAGTCATTGACAATGTCTTAGTAGGTTGTAGTATCGTTTAGGAGTTGCTCTGCTTTCCTGATGTAATATGCTTGGTCCATAATCACTGTCCTCCGTCCTTTGTCAGCAGATAGGATAACAATTGATTCGTCCGATTGCAGACATTTTATTACTACTTTCCCTTGTCGAGATAGAGAGGGTTGCATTGCTTTAAATACGTCACGGCTGAGACGGTTGTATATCTGAATTGTTGCTGTGTTTCTTCTTCAAGTATTTTAGACTGCGGGGCGCTTTCAAATCGTGCCAGAAAAACCGTAGTTGTCACGTCTTTGTAGTTATATTTTAGGCCTTTGATGAGAATTGGTTATTCCGTACCAGTGAGTGGCCGTTTGGACAGGTTCCTGATGCCACCATTATTGATGCATTCATCTATGCTGGTTGTCAGTTTGATCAATTTCTGATGAAGCTTAGTCTGCTTCTATGCGTTTGTGTTTTTAGCTCTGCGCTCTATTGCCAGTTGCACTTGTCCAGTGACTTGTTGTCCAGTTGCTTGTAAACAAGTAGTTTGATGTTCGTTTAGACATCGTTCATATTTTCTGATACAGTTATGGACATCTTTATCTGAATTTATTCCGAATTTAAAGCATCGTGCTCCCTGTATCAGTCTGAACAAAACAACAAGAACACGAGCACTGCAAGATGGCACCATTTCGTGTTATCTGATCACTTGCAAACTAACAACATATATAGATCAAGTAAGGGAAGGAAAGGATCGTTTTGAATTGGTCAGAAAAATGCACACAAACACAAAACATTAACTGGTAGCGCTGGGGCAAAGGTCATGAACCCAAAGAAAGATTAAGGGCTACTGTCAATAGCCTTTGCACACAAAGGGTGGGACGACAATGATTTAGTGACACAGCCTCGACAAACTTCAGCACCCTGGCGTTTTCGTTTCGGTAGATAACCGTAAAAGTTGACCCAGGGTCAACTTGATGACCTGTACTGATTAGGTGTCTAGCGATGGATGATGCCGGCAGCTTGCCTGCTGCTCCTTGTCCGGTTGCTTGTTGTGCCATCAGCCCAGCAATTCGCTTCGGAATGTGCTCTCCAATCCGAATTCGGCGCCGTTTTCTACGCCTGTGGATGGTTCATCGGTGGCCTGTAGCTGACACTGCGAGGAAGAATGTCTCTTCGCAAACATACATGGAAGAAATAGAACTGTTGCCTTGTGGACGCATTTCGGCAAGCAAAATCCTTCCAACGACGAGCAGTGCGGAGCGTGGAGCATCCGTAGGTGTTCGAAATTGTTTGCGATATTGGTAGCTCCGGAGGCTTGTTCTGCTTTTGTGGTGTTCGCCGGGCTGGTCAACTTGATTACAAGCGTTTCGCCACCATTCGAGGTGGCATCTTCAATGCAGGCTTGATAGCAGTCAGGTAGCAGGAGCTGGTACTAGGTAAACCGAATGATAGATGCATATCGACATCAATCTAATATACCAACCACAGAGACAAAAAGAGCTCAAGAGGATTAACAACCACTGTTCGAAAGGATCTAATCCAACAATGAACAGAATGGTAACTATGAGTGGAATCTGCTCAGCTACACTCGATGCACCAATCCCAGTGCGATAGTCCCAACCACGCGACAACAACATTTGCACAGCCAAATGGCAGTGACTCGAGCAAGACTGCAGAACATAATGAATCACCAAACAGAACGAGGCGAAGTTTATACCTATATAAAGAGTGGAATAGTTGCTGACAGTATCCATCAATGGGTCTACCTATCTACCAGCTCGTGCTGCCTGACTGCTATTAATTCTGCACTGTAGATGCCACCTCGAATGGTGGCGAAACGTTTGTAATGAAGTTGCCCAGCTCTGGAGCAGCACAGAAACTGAGCAACCACGTCTGTCACCGCTCGAAGGGCCGTGACAGTTTGCTGTAATCCCTCATTCTACCGTAACTACGCGCGTAAAGCGCTCTGGAAATGTTTAGATATCTATCGGACACCTTTCTTGAACAGACAGTCGCAAAGGGCACACTGATCAAACGAATCGAAGGAACCTTTGATGTCGCGGAACATGAGTAAGATGGATCGCTAATAAACATGGCGGTGCGCTACAAATTCAGATAACAGGGGTACAATGCAATCACGTAAGCTTGCAATGAAATGACAGTAACAAAAACATGCTCACTGCACATGAGCAAGCGGCGTACAGTGTGGACCGTATCAGAAGCGATTCCTGTCACATATACACGAGCTACATCATCTCTAACTTAGAGTCACAATCGAGCAACTCGGGAGTCATCGAGCCCCCCGGAACAATCGGCCAGTGAACCAACGGTGACCTACCTCGATGATCACCTGAAGGTACAAGGTGAAGCACGAGATTTCGGCGCCTAGTGATTCTCAGTTCACCGTGAAAACAAAAAAGAAATCGGTCGCTGCTTATGAAGTATCTATAAGAATTGTCTAGAGTAGTGAGTCTGGATGCGTTCTAGTGTTTCATGTTAAGGTGTGAGTAACTTGAGGCTAGAGTAAACACAAAGAGATAAACGTTTTCCACGTTTCCAATTTGACTAATAAACGAAATGTGTTAAGCCGAGAAGGAAACCTCAACTGGCCGGTGGCCGAGTGGTCTGCGCGCCTGGTTTACAACCATGAGGTCACCGGTTCGAATCTGCGTAAGGGTGGGCGGCCTCGTGCGACTGGTGGTGGTCGCGCGACAGCGAAGCGCCATTACGCTCCTCGTGTAGAGTAGAAAACAAACATTATTAATATTATTGCTACTAGTATTATTAGATTAGCTGCGTAGTAAATGCATCAACACCACACAGGCAAGTCGCGTTGATACAATCGCTAGCTGGCTTGGTTACTTCAAGTAAGCCAAACCCATGCAGAGATGAAAACTCGAACATGGGTAATATAGGTAGAAAGTCGACGTGTCACCGCTCCCCAGCTACACAGTAAAGACAAATGAATGAGATCAGAGGATGACGTTCTCTATGAAAAGATGAGAAAACAGGTAACTGAGAAACAAACAAGAATAAGCTCAACAAGGAAGGGAAATGTCACCCAGACACGTTCCCAGAACAGGTGGAGGTAAGCAGTAAAAGTCCTGAGCAGCAGCGGCAGCATAAACAACAGAGTGGATGGATGGTTGTAAAATAGACCGGAGAAATGGTGAAAAGTTACCTCGCTCATCTTGCTCATTGATGTTTACCCCATCTTTAACCACCTGCTTCAAAGAATCGAGATCATTCAATTTTGTCAACTGGAACAGTTTCGAACGAACGGTCGGAGCGAACTTCGCGGCCGTATGAGCATAGGTGGACATCGGGGGACGTTCGCGGATTGAACTGCGATGTGGTGGACCGGAAGGGGACGTGCCTGATTCCAATCTCCGAGTGTCAGTCAGCTGCTCATGAGTGCCCAATGATTTGTATGGATCCGGTGTGGCACCATCGCCGTCCGTATGGAGATACGCGTGGCCGCTTGACAGTGCCCAGTCACCATGCAAGATGGAACCGGCAGGAAGAGAGGGCTGACCTCTGTCTGCAACCAGAAACAAGAGGAAAGTAGTAGTGCATCGTTAGGTGTGTAACGCACCGGTTGATGATACTTAGGTAGGATAACAGTAGAATCGATGGGAAATGTGCCACCTCGGATTGCGGATATTGGGGAAAAGAGCAGAAGCAAAACAAACAGTTCACATGGTTGGCGGCATCCGGTTTCGGATTTGCCTGTCACTGTGGCCAGACACAGGACGCCTGCGCCTACAGAGGGACCATGGATGGCTTGCGCTGCACCACCCACAGCTCCAACCACACACCCCATATCCAGTGTAAACCCGAAGGAATAAGACCGGGAGGCATGTGGATGGGAGCCACGTTTCATCAACGGAGCCGGCCCACACTCCTTCATAGGCAAACACAAGCACACTGTATTTGGGAATCAAGCGCACACAAGGCGGTGGCTGGACCGTAGTCCGCTCCACACTGAGTGCATGGAACCACACTTCGAGCCTAGCACGGCCACAAGGACCGTGCACCCCGTCCCCTCCAGCAACGACCAACTGTCTCCTGGAGCCAGATGGAGGAGGTAGTGGGTAATAGACAGGTACGCACCTTGTCAACATGCACATCAAGCGCAGCCACACCTGGGATGTCAAAGAACAGTCAATCACTCAAAATGCAGATATCGAATAAAGTAAACGCATATGATGACATAAATACTCGCTAAATGAGCATATAGAAGAAATTGGTTATAAGTACATCCGTGATAAGTACAAAATGTCCAAGTTACTTAAAAAATACTACGCGATGCAATTACGCAAGTTTACCACAATTTGCATAAGCGACGTGTGCAAGTTGGGAAAAAATTATCAAGTACGCAGAACAAACCAAATAAAATGTAACAAATTTTATCCACATTAAAAAGACGTGGTTTAAGTGTAAGTTGGTTTAGCCCAAGTGCGGTGAGGAAGAATCATGAATGCAACATCAGCCTCAGCATGGGGAAAAGAGCAGAAGCAAAACAAACAGTTCACACATACTGTAGATAAACGGCCAGTCTCAGACAACCATACAAAACTCATGGGCATGCACGGATGTAGTGTTAGCTCTCTCAAACTAAAATGATTGGGGTTAACGTGTAACAACCGAATCATGTTAAGGTTATCCCCATCCACAAGCTTCCGGGTCTTATAACTCAAAAACTAACAGATATTGTTGTGTCGCCAGACACATCCGAATGTGGTGCAGCGAAAGCCACACTTCTTCTGCAAGTGAAAATAAGATTGGACCGCTACAGCGCGCCAGGCTCCAGTGTCTAGGCCACGAGTTGCGCATGTCAGCACACCGACCCCCGCATCGTTCGTTGTTTGCGCACCGGGGGTGTGGATGGAAAAGGAAGGTGGAGGCCAAGCGATGACTTGGTCGAGAGGAATGAAAACCCGCACCTCGAAATTAACGTCAGTTAGTGTCGCTCGACTACTGACTGGGGACCGAAGGACAATGAAGACGTTTGATTGGATACACCAGCTTACATGGCCAGGAGCCAACCTCAACGGCGTTTGAGTTGCGAGTTTCTATGTCTCTCCTCATCCTGCTTAACTTCCACCTCCAATCCCGATATGTGTCTTAAAGTAAAATGTTAGTAAGTAAGATTTTACCTTAATGGAAGGCTATTTTGGAGAATATGTATGGTTGGATTACAATGCGCAATCGCAATGTAGACCGTGATTCACACTGAAGTGAATCTTGGTTAATGTGATCACTGGGACCGTAGCCGAAGCAGATGGAAATTGGGTGTTGCCCATCCGTGAATGCCACGCGCCAAGACGCGTTTCGATCTCATTTGGCCTCATCGGGTTGGAATAAGGTCTTGAACCCGTGACAATTAGAATAGTAGTCGAAACCTCTACCACCTCATCGGCTACGGGGTCACGACAGACAACACGTGGCACAACGGTTAATGACTGATTGCAGGGTATGTTGGAGTACAGATTCTGTGGTTGGATTGTGACGCCCAATAACAACGTGGAACGCGATTCACATTGAAGTGAAACTTGGCAAATTCAATCAATGGGATTTTAAACGAGGAAGTAGCTGCACATTTGCTGTTGCAAGCCGGAGAACACTGCTGCGGCTGTTTATAACATGAGAAGCGTTAAGTCAATCACGGTGTAGTAAGTATTTAATGAATATTTATTCACATGGCTTTTCCATGCCATCATTTAATTAATAAAACGTAGAGCTGGACACGTGGCGTGCGGTACGAGAGAAAACATACAAACTTAAAATAAGGCGAACTATGGTAGCACACATACGTACCATGCCTTGCAAGCAGTTACTGGAACGGAGATGGAAAAGTCTCCGAAAATAAAAGCGTTCTTTTCATAGAAGTGACACTAAACCGTAAAACGGAGGTGACGGTTTGCATGACTCAACAATTGATCCAGCTGTCCTGGGGTGCTTTTGTACCTTCAGGACCACTCATAACTGACGGAGCAATTGTTTGAGGCCAGGCAAACTCTGCCACCTGATCTAGCAAGTTGGAGTGAGGGTGATTCCTAGTTCTAAAAAATATCGTGAAACCCTCTTGTCTTATGCTCAAATTTTTTTGAGCAAAGGCTGGTTGAAAACCCTAATCGTTCTCCTGTCTAGGCCTGTACAACTTAACAGTGCGCTGCCCACAGATTACAATGAAAATATGATGTTCTGGCTGTCAAAGAGGATAACAAACCGCGCTCTATCTACATCATCGAGTGTCACCGAGCCCGTATTCTCGTCTTCTTCTTCGCACACTTACAATTTTTCATTCTAATTGTCCGATCCCAACTTCCCTTTTATCTAGCTTGTATACAGCCCCAAAATTCTTGCCAACCCCCACCTTGTTATGAAAGACATTTGCCATGGGCAAGGACAAGGACAAAAACGCAAACCTTAAATTGTGAAGGAAATTACAAGAAACTGCAGATGAGTGTATTTTGGACAGAACAATCTTAAGTATAAAATAACACGAACGGAACCACCAACTGTCTTTCACTGGGAGCTACTCACCTGAGCCATCCTCGAACTCCATCTGCCTCAAGAGTGCGAATTGTTGACGTTCAGACATGGGTACGTGACCCCTAGATTTGGGGCCAGGAGGGTTGACTTGTAAAGTTGCATCCTCTGTACGTTTCTTCTTGGAAAAATAGACCACTACAAAAAGGATTTCGAATGTAAACGCCCGAAAAGTTAGCAAAGAGAAACAGAATACCGAGAGATCAAAAACTGACCGTCATCATCTCGACTGCGCCGCCTTTCCTCCTTCATTTTGCTGCGTCAGGTAGATGTGTGGTGTTTCACGAGAGTATTGTACAAATAGCAGGGGAAAAAACCAGAGGTGGGATTAGAGTCACATGAGCCATCGATAAGCACTTTAGCGCTTGAGAACACACACATGACATCAGGCCATTCGGTACACTGCAATGTATTTGGCTGCAAGTTGAAATTGCTGCAATCCAGAAGGAGACAATGGGAAAACGCACATCTACACAAGTACAGTCTCAATGTGGTCAAGAGTAATCCTGCAAACAAGACGATGAAGCAAGGGTAAGCAAATAGAATTAGCATGAACCGAGAGAACAAGTTACGTAATGTAAACGGAAAAGCGATGGTCACAAAAGGTGGAGCGTTCAACGTTTCAAAGATTTGTTGAGTATCCAGTGTACGCGCAATTCGATCCAACGGTTCCTTTAGTGTTGTAGGTAAAGTAGACAGAAAAAGGCCTGTGGTAAGAACGAATGTCTCGTAGGAGGCTGAATGTCGCTGTTCCGAGCAATTACAGTGGATTGAGTCGAAAGAAAACGGGTGGAAACAACGGCGTCAGAAGTAGGACAGAAAGTGCAGAAGAAGGCTGACTGAGAAGTGGAAAGTCGACGGAGGACTCCATGTTGGCCTTGTGATCTTTCAAAATGTTAGTTAGAATGTTAGTTACTTATACATCATGATCCGACTAACAGAAAAAGATGAGTCATACGTGAGTAGGATCTAAAAGCGAAGACAAGCTGATTGGAGGGCCATTTTGTAGGGATTATTGTGTAGATAGGTTCCGACGCACAATTTCAAAGTGTGCCGCGATTCCCTTTGGGGGAAACCTTGATCGAATCGGACACTGGGACCGTAAGTGATGAAGCAGGTAGATAATCGGTGTTGTCCACCAGAAAACGCTGCACACCACAATGCGTTTCGACGTTAGTTAATTACCCAATGACGGTCCCAGCGATCGAATTGACCAAGGTTCATTTCAACGCGAATCGCCGCAGAGATTGAGATTGTGCCTCACAAACAATGCACACAATGAGTCATCATCATCGTCATCATACACGTCAGCTAGAGGTGGGAAACACCTCGGCTACTGTGCCGCAAGACATAGAAAAAGGAGAAAAAAATGCAACTGGTGCAAGCCGGCTGAGCTACCGGTAACGAATGGGCATCTTTCCGGTAAGCTATCTTCCGGCTACTATGCAGCAGAAAAACTTATAATTTACTATGCGAAGTTATAAAATGCTAAATAATGAGATCGTGGTTAGAGGGGAGCCTAAGAGGGATGGGGTAGGACAAAGGAACTCACAGCAAGAAAGTCAATGAGGACGCCTCCTAACAATATCAGCAACTGTATCTAGTCAAACGTGTTCATCGTCTTTCGGACCCCAACCAGGGAGCCGAGACGCTCCAACCGAGGCCAGCTCAGAAGTGAGGGCATTCATTGCTCTCGACAGTCATCGCTTGGTCACCTCTTCTCTTCTTCCATCCACACCCCGGCGCGCAAACAACGCACGTCATATCCTGTAAATGCAAGCTCCATAACTTCGTCAATAGCGAAGTTGAAGAATAAAGGTGACAGCGGGCACCCTTGCCTCACACTGTTGGAGAAATTAAGGGCGACGACAGGTTGCCGTAAGCCCTCACTCTGCCTGAGTTACGCGCGTATAATAATCGGATAATATTTACATAATTCTCAGGTACACCTTTCCTGAGTAGACAATTCCAATATGTCAGCTTATA